TGGAAACCATCATTTACCCTGGTCCCCACCCTAGTCATGCCACTGCAAACTGTGGTGCCCAAGTCTCCACATGGCTTCCTGCTTCTCCTGAACACCCAACCTGCCCCTCAGCCTCTCCGCTCACGGCTACAAGGAAGCAGCTCACCTCTCTTATTCCTCATCCCTTCGTTCAGCCAACCCGCTTGGCTGCACACATGCTGCATTCTGCATCCCCAGTCAGGCACTTTGGAAATGAAGACGAATTTGTTCATTCCTTATTTGTTAGCCAACTGTTACGGCGCAGGCCACTGAGTCGGGCTCTAGATGTGACCGTGAACAAGAGGCACCTTGTTCACCTGGCCTGAAAGCTTCTTGCAATTAACATAGTCATAAAGAATTCAAAAGTCAAAGAGAATCTAAAACAGATACTATGATCCTCTGCTAACAAAGTAGGGGATCCTCAGATTGAGGCCAGCTTATACCTGACCCCAGACAAAACCAAGAAAGGACAAACTCAAAACAGACTTGGATACAGCAATAAATTTGGTGAAGAAAATAAAATAAAATAAAATAAAATAAAGAGGCCAGGCCTTTACAATGTCCCCAATTGGGCATACAGATACAGAAGTAGGACATTATCAAACCAGATACAAGCTGTACTGGTGGCCTGTGGAGAGGATATTTTGTTGGGGGTGGTCAAGGAGTTATTACCTAAGGAAGGAGCAAGTTGGATCTGAATTTTTCCCAATGCCTGTGAAGAAGGAAGGAGCAGGCAGGTGGCCCACACCTGTAACCCCAGCACTTGGGAGGCTTGAGAATTCTGGGCCAGCCTGGGCTAATAAAGAGACTTTGTCGATAGATAAATAGGTCAAGGAAATAGGACATTCCAGATCCAAGCTACAGAACTTCACAGAGAAACAGAGGTGAACAGAGAGAGGGGGTGGGCAGATGTGACTAGAGGGGTCACAGGGACCAGGAGGATGTGGTGGCAATGGTTACTGCTCGGATGTGGAAGGAAAAGTGGGACCGGGGATGATGCCAGCTTTCCACCACGGATGCTGACGGAGGGTGGTACTGATAAGAGCGGGAGTGTGGGCATCTTGGGTGACAGAGGGACGAATCATTTGATGCTGAGCTCAAAGGGAATGGGGACACCCTTCTTCTTTCTTTTCTTTGTTTTGTTTTTTGTTGTTGTTGTTTTGGTTTTTTTGTTTTGCTTTTTCAAGACAGTTTCTCTGTGTAGCCTTGGCTGTCCCAGAACTCACTCTGTAAACCAGGCTGGCCTCGAACACAGAGATCCACCTGCCTTTCCCTTGCGACTGCTGGGATTAAAGACATGCACCACTACCACCTGGCCCCCTATTTCTTTTTGGAGGGTTGGGGAACAGGTTCTCAACATGTAGCCCAGGCTGATCTGGAACTAGCAATCCTCCTGCCTCTGCCTCTTGAGTACTTAGAATGCAGTCTTGAGCTATCAAAACCCAGCTTGGCATTCGTGTTTGCTTCTGGACTCAACTTCCAGCCCTGGAGGAGGAAAGAGTTCCTCAAACAGAAGTTCCTCCCTAGGCTGTCCCCATTTCCTTTTATTCGAAGACTGTCTGAAATGGGGGCAGTCATTCTCACCCAACTGGGTTGTCAGGAGAACCAGAGGAGACTGTTGATGTAAACACATTTGCAAGCGATGAGGTGCGGTTCTGTGTAAGCACAGGGCGCCCATCAGAATGGCTGATGAAAAGCAATAGATCACCCTCCAAATGGATGGCAACCAACCAGCCCCCAAACCCTACGATCCCGTGGCGAGGACAACTTGGGAGCATAAATCAGAAGTGGACCACGAAGACCTTTAGTCCTATGGCACATGTGCCTTTCCGGAAGCCCAAAGCTCAGGGCGGAGGTAGAGCCGCCCAGGAATTTATTATCCCTCCATAACATTGAGCTTCCCAAATCCCCATGAAGCCCGGGAATGATGTGCCTGCAGAGTGTGTGGGCACACTGGCACCAAAAGCCCCTCCATAAATCAAGGTCTCAACATTTGTTGGCCCCAGACTGCTTTTTCCAAGGTGACCTGGGCAAAGTTAAAGGAGAGCCACTCATGTATGGGTGGTGTCTGTCTTTGACATGATGGCTGAAAATGGCTAAGGGGGCCAGTTCTCTAGAAACACCACCTTTGACGCTCTGGAGGACTTGCAAAGAAAGGGGCGGGTTTTCTACAACCTCGGCCAATTTGGGGGACCCAAAGGTCCTCTGGGGTAGCCTATCCCAGTGCTGAGCCAGCTGTCTGGATAGTCAAGGTGACCTCCACCTTGTCGTCTATTGCACAAGACAGCCACGTCAATCACAGAACCTCAAATCAGCTGATTCAGGCCAGGACAGAGGTGGAGAAGGACTTGTCCAACGTCACATAGGCTTAAGGGAAGCAGTTAAGGCAACCTCCTGGGGCTCAGACCTCACCACACCCCCTTTAATGAGGCCACCTGGCAGAGAAGCCAGGTTCAGGTAACGGTCTCAGAAACTTGGCCCCATCTAGCCATTCCTTCTGCCATCTTAATTTCTCCAGTGGCATCTAAATGAGCCGGAGTGAGGACACCAAAGACTAAAAACGGCACTCTTCCTTTGCCAACGGTGAGCGGGAAGACATGAAATCATTCCTTCTGGAAACAGGGGGCCAGCAAAGTCACTGGGTGGCTGAAGAGATCAAGTGACTTGGGACACCAAGATCACACCTGCCCAAGGAAGTCAAATCCCAAGCCAGAGCGACTCTGAAAGAATCCATAAAAGATGCTCGATAAGACGGTTCAGATGAGTAAAGGAAACTTAGAAAACAAACTCCGGAACAGCTCAGTTGGCAGCGCTCGGCGAGCAGGTGCAACCAGGTGTGGTGGCACACATCTGGAGTTCAAGGTCATTCTCCTTAGTGGACACCCTAGGCCATGTCACCCATCTTTCCTACTGTCTCTTCCCCACTTGCCCTTCTCCACTGTTATCCAGGAATTAGGTGAGTGCCTGGCTCACGCATCATGACATCCTAGAGCTAGGCTCCTGCCACATAGCAGGTGCCCCTTACTTACTTACTTTTGTTTTGTTTTATTGTGTAACCATCTTGGTTGTCCTGGAACTCTCCTTGTAAAACAGGTTGGCCTTGAACTCACTGAGATCTGCCTGCCTCTGTGTCAGGAGCTGGAAGACTTCAGCTCCAGGTTCTTTTCGAGTAATACCTACAAGGACTCTGTGCCCTTCTCCCCAGAGAGTGATGAGTAACCAGACCAAGCAAGAGAATTGTTTTTAGAATGATTCTTTACTGGCAACTTCAATATCCAAGGCATCAATGGAGTTTACAATCTTAATAGGCATGGGGGATTGATAATGGGCAACACACAGGCAATTCACTATCACAATTATTAATCCTACTAATCCTAATACATAAAACCAATTCATAACCTTAATCTAATTTATCACTTATCTATAAAACACTTCTTAACCTTAATACAACTTAATCCGTTACCTATAAAAACACTTCTTAACCTTAACACAACTTATCCATTAACATTTCCTAATCTTACCAATTATCCATAAGATATGTCTTAACATTTCACACACTAAACTTATGTAATAACACATCTATGCTCTTCTCTTAACATCTCAGACACACATTAAATAGTATCATACGACCTGGTATTCTTCAGCTTAAAAAGGGCTTTTTGGATCTCTTCAGGCTGGATGCCTGACAGCACTGGGGGCTGGATAGCGAAGTTCAACTCTTGACCCCGTAGTTTGCACTCGGGAGAGAAGGTTTCAATGTCCTCTTCCAGGCTGGTATCGGGTGCTGGATTAATCCTTGACCGCGTAGTCTGTGGCCTGGTGCTAGTCTATCTCAGAATGCAGGACCTTTGGACTCAGCTTTTCGGGTGACCAAGTCTCGGGAGACAAGGCTTTTAGTTCTTTCCTCTCAAGATAGCAAAGCGTTCTGTCTGCTCAGAAGACGAAGATTTGCTCTCGGGATGGCAAAGCGTTCTGTGTTCGGAAAGGCAGAGTATCTTGTCTGTTCTCGGGAGACAGACCTTCAATGTCCACTCTCAGGAAATGAGGCTTTGCATTCGGGATGCAAGGCGTTAAATGTCTGTTTTTGGGAAATGAAACTCTGTACTTGGGAGACAGAGCATTAAATGTTTTTTTTTTCTATAAATTTCCTGCTCTATCTACACTACAGATTCCCCTTTATTTAGTCATTAAGAGGAATCTGTTTCCATGCCCATTACACTCTGCCTCGAAAAAACAAACAAACAAAAAGCAAAAAAAAAAAAAAATTCAATCCTTTTCCACTTGCAAGAGTATCTGTCAATCATCTCTGGCTCTTGTCTGATCAGGTTTTTTAGCTGAGTCTAGAGAACCCCTCATCCCCTGGCTGATTGGGACAGTTGGTGAGTGATTGAGATCACAAAGATGACTGACAAAAGTGTCACTCATCCATTTATCCATAAATATGTACATAACCCGCATGACTGGAATCCTAGCAATTGGCGAGTGGAAGCAGGAGGAGCATCCGGATTGTCTTTGGCTGCCGTAGTGAGTTCGAGGCCAGCCTGGGATGCATGGGACCGTGCCTCAAAATACACAAAAGCAGAACCAAAGCAAGACGATACTCTTGCAAGTGGAAAAGGATTGAATTTTTTAATTTTATTTATTTATTTATTACTTTGTGTTTGTTTGTTTGTTTGTTTTTCGAGACAGGGTTTCTCTGTAGCTTTGGAGCCTGTCCAGGAACTAGCTCTTGTTGACCAGGCTGGCCTTGAACTCTCAGAAATCCACCTGCCTCTGCCTCCCTACTGCTGGGATTAAGGGCGTGCGCCACTTTCGCCCGGTTGAAATCACCGCCTTGAACAAAATTGGAAGTCTCCACCCCATCCAGGTCACCCTCCCTCTGGCCCCTTAGACTGCTAAGGTCACCCTAGGAACAGGAGGCCCAGCAGCCGAGCAGCCCGGTGACCGCTACTGCGCACGCGCGCTTTCCATCGGCTCGCCCGGGACACCGGAAGCCGCCTCCCATTCGTCGGCTCTGCGGCGGTTAGCGGGCCTTAGGGGTGAGAAGCCGGCTTCCACCGCGGTGTTCGACGGGATGCCGGAGGCTAAGGGGTGGGGCTGACGTCAGGAGCCAAGATGGCGGCGGCGGTCGGGGTCTCCTTGAAGCACGGCTTCCTGGCTACGGCTGTCGGCCGAGTCGGCCTGCAGGTGAGCCCCGGAGCCGTGGTTCAGTGGGGAGCCGTGCCCGTAACCGAGGCTACCTGGAGTGGAGAGGCCGCGGAGAGGCGGAGGGACCCCGGAGCCGGGCCTCAGGGGAGGGCGGCTCACCTACGCCCTGCCCCGGAGCATCCTGTCAGAACGCCCTCCGGTGCCTCGCCACAGCCGGAGGGTCGCGGCCGGGCAGAGGGTGGAAAAGGTCGGCGGAAAGATAGAGGTCAGGGAGGGCATCTCAAGGTCATCTGACCAGCGTCCGGTTATTGGATCCCAACTTCAAATCCAGAAATTAGGACTCGCTCAGCTCCGTGTGTAAGGGGGGCCTGGGGTGGCACCCGGGAGGCCAGGTCGCGCGGCCAGGGTAGGCTGATCTGGGTCGGTAAGGCCGGAGGGCCACGCTCCTGACCCCCAGGGGACAGGAGAGATGGAAGAAACCACCCAGCCCTGGGAAGACACGGAGCCCGGCCTGTGGAAGCCGGCAGGCCCGACCCGGTTCCATAAAGCGTGTGTAGCGGCTCTGATGTCACACCGTTGGCACGGGGTGACACAGGCAGAGCCCGGGGCTGCTTCTGCTGATGCTACTGTAGTAGCTGTCACAGGTCGTCCCACACGCCCTGTATCCTCGGGGAGCTGCACCCTGCAGGCGTGCTTTCTCAGTGGGAGCGTTTAGAAGGGCCAACGAAGCGGCCTCTGCTTCCAGAAGGGGCTAAAGATTGGCGAATCCCGTTCAGTCTGTTGGCTCCTCTGGGCTCCTGGACAGAAGGTGGGCAGCAAGAACTCTGAGCTTCTTAGAGATTTGAAAACCGAGGCTCCCCATCAGCTTATCCACGGCAGTTTTTGTTTTGTTTTGTTTTAAGTTTTGTGTATGGGTGTTTGCTTGCACGTATGTAGGGGCACCATGTGCCTATCTGGTATCCAGGGAGATCAGGAACTAAGTTACAGGTGGTTATGAGCCACCATGTGAGCAGGACCCCTGCTCCTCTCCCAGCCACTGAGACACATCTCCAGCCTTGTTGCTGGTTTGGTTTGGTTTTGGACAGGGTCTCTAAGCAGCCCTGGCCACCCTACAGCTCCTAGAACTCAGAAATCCCTCTGCTTCAGCCTCCCACATGCTGGGATTAAAGGTGTATGTCACCATAACTGGCCCTGCAACAGAACCCTGGCGTGTGGTCAGTATATAGAAATATTAGTTCCTTCTCTTGACTTTACTGATCTCTCTCTCTCTCTGTCTTCGTAAGTGCCTGCTGGGGCAGCAGGACACAGTCCATACTCCACCCTCTTGGAATCCCGGCTCTCTGCAACCTACTGGATGTAACCCTAACAAAACGTTCATTCTGCATTTCTCTTTCTTGTTTGTTTGGAGACAGTTTCTCTGTGTAGCCCTAGAACTGGCCTTGAACTTAGAGATCCACCTGCCTCTGCCTGCCAAGTGCTGGGAATCAAAGGCGTGCACCCCCACTGCCCACCTCTACATCTCTTCCTGAGTAGGAAGGATCCAGAGTCAGGTGCACAGGCACACACCTGCCATCCCAGCACTCAGGAGCCTGAGGCAGCGAGATCAGGAGCTTAAGGACATCCTCGGCTGCATGTGGAATGCAAGGCTAACCTGGGCTACTTGGGACCCTGTCTCAAAGAACAGTAGAACAGTGCCTGCCAGAGCCTCAGGCTGATGTCCTGGGGATTAGGTTAATGATTCTGTGTCCGTGGTTGAGAATCTCATACATGAATACTGTATTTACATCATTTCCATCCCTCCCTCTCCTCCCATGCTTCCCCACTCCCTCTCACATGCTTGGCTTTGTCGTTGCTAAGTATGTACAGAGACACATACATAATCTCTTGAGTCCATGTAGTGTTGCTTATACATACATGTGTTTAGTGTTGACAGCATGGGATTGGACAGCACCAGTTCACATGCCAGCATAAATAGGGGAAATTTCACAAGGCCCCTACTCTAGTTGAAGAGCTATAGGCAATCCGTGTCTGCTGAGAAGGGGTGCATCAGTTTTCTCAAGGAAGGAGAGCCTCTTGATGGGTTTTCCCGTTAATGATTCCCAGTGACCTTGTTCACCAGCCTCTTTCCGAGTTGCTGAGGCAGCAGTTAAGTTGTGAGAGCCCCACCACTAGGAGCGAGTTCTAAGAGGGGCTTCCTTGAATGAACTGTAGAAAACGGTCAGTGTTAGGGTTTCAGGAGAGGCCTTTTCCCACCTTCCCCAGGACAGTGAGAGAGAGAGAGATGTCCTCCCTGTGGGAAGGTGTATTCATATTCCCAAGGACCCCACTGAGCTTGCTGTGTTGCTGTGGGCTCGGGTTCTGAACCTCTGTGTTTGACCTGCACCCCCAGACTGCAGTCTGCCAGCAAGTGTAACTGCAATGGGTTAACTGTTAATAATGCTCCTGTTTCTTCATCTGGACTGTGGACTCCAGGAGGGCAAAGCCGCCATTTACAGCTCTGCTTCTTTGCTCCTGGGATCGGTAAGGTTTAGAATGCCCATCTGCCAGTCAGAATAATCCGAGGCCTGAAAATGGTTTAGAATGCCCATCTGCCAAGAGTTTGACTCACTCCTTGTGAAGTAGGTATCAGTCCCACCCTCCCCTTTGCGAAGGAAGGATGGGGTGGATTGGCTAAGTAATTCTCTGAAGAGCACTCAGCTCAAAGGTGACATTTCAGATCTCTGTGAGTTCAAAGCCAGCCTGGTCTACTAGCAAGTTCTAGGACAGCCAGGTCTAGATGTGAGACCCTGTCTCAAAACAACAGGATTCGTGCTGATTCATAGCCATGGATGGTGACCCACTTGGAATGTGGAGACTGGAGGATCTTAAGCAGGGGCTTAAGGTCCTTGTCTACATAGTAAATTTGAGGCATGCCTGGGCTATGTGAAGCCCTATCTCAAGAAAAAAAAAGCTAAATAAATCTAAAAACCCTATATCAATTTCAGTCTAAACCTAGTCCCTTTTGAAAAGTATACCTGAACAAATGTCTTTGTAGAAACAAGTATTTAAATGGGAGAAAGGTGGACTGGAGAGATGGCTCAGAGGTTAAGAGCATTGCTTGCTCTTCCAAAGGTCCTGAGTTCAATTCCCAGCAACCACATGGTGGCTCACAACCATCTGTAATGGGGTCTGGTGCCCTCTTCTGGCCTGCAGTCATACACACAGACAGAATATTGCATACATAATAAATAAATAAATATTTTAAAAAATAAATAAATGGGAGAAAGGTGATGTGAGGCTCCATTGTAGGTAACCTGTCATCCCTGCAGGCCTGGAGGGAATCAGCTGAGCATGGGGGCTATTACCACCCTCTGAAGGGTGGTAATTCACCTTCCATAGTGTGGGACCATAGCTCGGTGTGTAGTATTGTCTTAGCACTCAGGAGCAAAAGCAAGAGGCTTGCCACAGGCAAGCCTAGGCTGCACTGGAGCATGCTATCTCAACCCCCCCCCACACACACACACACATAAAAATCAATAACAACAACAACAAAAAGCAACCAAAGCCAGGCATAGTAATGCCCACCTGTAGTCCCGTAACTTGGGAGGTGAATGCAGGAGAGTAGGAACACTAGGTCATTCTCAGCTGTATAGTGAGTGTGGGCCGGTCTAAGTGTAAAACAAAAACAGCCAGCCCCTGCATTAGGCAGCTATGTTGCTATAATGCCGAGGTTCACCTCGAACTGTAAGGCCAGCAGATGGTGGTCCCTGGGTGCTACAGAGTGAGGATGGCGAGTGGCTGTGGTAGAACGGGCATCCAGGTGTTTCCATCAGGGAAGAAGCTCAGTGCTATTACAGATGTGTGTGGTCTATAATTTTCCAAACTAAAAAATCGTCATGTGTTCTCTATTTTGTGTATGGGGGTACACACATGCCTAGGTGTGCATGTGGGGATCAGAGGACAACCTGTAGGAGTCAGTTCTCTCTACCGTTATGTGGATTCTAGGCATATAACTCAGGTTGTCAGGCTGGTGATAAGTGCCTTACTGACCTGTCTTTATTTGTATTTTTAGTTATGTATATATGTGTGTGAGTGTAGTTGCCTGTGGAGTCCAGAAGAGGGCGTAGAAGCCCCTAGTGATGGAATTACAGGTTATGAGCAGCTTAACTGATGAGCCATCTCTTCCAGTTTGGGGGGGGGTGTCTGGGGCATGGTCTTACATTGTATCTCTGGCCGTCCTGTTTGACCTCCAACTCACAGAGGTCCACCTGCCTCTGCTTCTGGAGTGTTGGGATTAAAGGTATGCGCCGCTACACCTGGCTCTCTCAGGTTATTTTTTAAAGGAACTCACTTTTTAGACTAGGCTAGCCTCTGGCTGTTCTGGTTGGCCTCCAACTCACAGATCCACCTGCTCCTGCCTTCCAAGTGATGGGAGTGCACCACCACTTCCTGGCAACGCCAGAAGTCTTTACGTTAAGTGAAAAACTGAATGTGGGATGATGAAAAAGAGGTCATTTTGGATGGGCAAGTGTAGTATGAGGGCTGGCTTGTTGGGGTTTCTGTCCCTCCCAGTACCCCAACAGCCGGCAAGCAACAAAGAAAATCACACACAAGACTCCATAAGGTTATAAACTGATTGGCTCATTAGGTCAGGCTTCTTGTTAACTCTTATAACTTATATTAACCCATTATTCTCATCTATGTTAGCCATAATGGCTCCGTACCTTTCTCTGCTGGGCAAGTTACATGCTGCCTCTTTGGTGGTCTGTACAGGAATGGCTGAGGAACCTCCTTGCTTCCCAGAATTCTCCTGTTCTCATTGCATCATCTCTACTTCCTGTCTGGTTTTCCCACCTATACTGCCTGCCTGGCCAATCAGCGTTTTATTAAAATATGATTGACAGAATACAGACAATTCTCCCGCATCAGGCAAGGATACTCTAATTTTGGTAATACTACTTTGTTAAAACTCATAAAATTATGTCCTTACCCAGTAACTATGTTGTGATGACTTCTGCCCTACCTGGTTCACGCAGTAACACATTTATCGTGCCAGCTAGGTGGAAAGAAGTACCTTGCATTTTTTTTTTAATGTTTTTCTTTCTTCTTTTTCTGGGCTTTTTCAAGTTTCAGGCCTGCCGAGGGGCACAGACAGCTGCTGCTGCAGCTCCCCGAGTCAAAAAATTTGCCATTTACCGATGGGACCCAGACAAGACTGGAGATAAACCCCGAATGCAGACTTACGAAGTCGATCTGAATAAGTAAGTGTCTGTGCCAGCCAGGTGCTTGGTAAGGAGCAGGCCAGGAGGGTATGCTTGGTTCATGGTTAGGTCTGGTTTGTGGTGTCGGGGACTGAACCCAGGACCTCATGTATGTTAAGTTTTACCACGGAGCTATGCCCCCTCTCTAAAGGGGAACTCATAATTTGATATAGGGACATACTTTCCAGGATCTAAGAGACATACAAACCTGATTCTCTGATGTTTTGGAATCTGTCTTCTGTTTTTAAAGTTAGGTAGATGTCTACTTGAGAAAGAAAAACACCAGAAATCAACCACTGAAAAATTCCTTTCTTGTGTTCTCCCAATTTCTTTTTCTTTCTTTCTTTCTTCCTTTCTTTTTCTTTTTCTGTTTTTTTATTTTGAAACAGTCTTACAGCCCAGGCTGGTCTTGAACTCATGTTATAATTGAGGAATGCCTTGAATTTACAATCTTCCACTCTCTACCTACTAAATTCTGGGATTATAATTGTGAGGTACTGGAGTTTAAACCCATAGCTTCATGCATGCTATAGAAGCCCTCTGCCAACTGAACTACATCCTCAGCCCCAAATCACTCTCAAGGTAACTTTTATTAAGGAAAAAAATAAAAATATTGCCAAATAATTAGAGATAAACTGTGCAAATCAAAACTCAGTAAACCAGACATGGTGGTTTACACCTTTAATCCCAGCATTCAGGAGACAGAGACAGGTAGATCTCTGCAAGTTCGATGCCAGTCTGGTCTGCATGAGCCACAGGACAGCCAGAGCTACGTCTCAAGTAAGATAGAGAGACAGAGACAGAGATAAAGACAGACAACAACAACAAAAATCACCTCAGTATGTGGCTAAAAATATAGAATTAAAAACAAAAAAAGGGCCGGGCGGTGGTGGCGCACGCCTTTAATCCCAGCACTTGAGAGGCAGAAGCGGGTGGATCTCTGTGAGTTCGAGGCCAGCCTGGTCTACATAGAGCTAGTGCCAGGACAAGCTCCAAAGCTACAGAGAAACCCTGTCTCGAAAAAAACAAACAAAAAAATAGATATAGGGGCTGTGAAGATGGAGACTCATAGATCATGCAGGGCCAGGAATGTCAGATTCCCTGGAGCTGAGTCACAGGCAATTATGAGCTACCCAGTATGGGCGCTGGGAACTGAACTCGGGTCCTCTGCAAGAACGGCATGTGCTCTTAACTGCTCAGCCATCTGTCTAATCTGCTTTATTTTTTTTTATTATCTTTACCATATTTTCTGTGGTGGCTCTGTATTATTTTAACTACCAAATCAGGATCTTGATTTCAAAGCCAGCCTGGACTACATAGTGAGGCACCATCTCAAAAAAACAGAACAAGAGAAAAGCAGGCTGAGGAAATGACTGAGTGGGTATGAGTGCTAGCTCTGCAAGCATGAGTCTGGATCCCAGCACCCACGGAGAAAGCCAGGCGATGCTTTCCTGTATTTTCTGGGGGAGCAGACCCAGGCAGGTCCAGGTCTGGGGATTGCTGACCATCAGCCTAGCTGAAAAACAACCGCTCCAGGTTCAGTGAAAGGCCCTGTCTCAAGGGAATAAAGCAGAACATTAGAGGGAGACTCTAAACAGCATCCTCTGGCTTCCACATGCATACACTACACAGACACACAAAAGAATAAAAAAAAAATAACTGCAGTAATTAAGCCTTTAAGCAAGTAAAAAATAAAACTATAGGAAAAAAATCTGGTGCTGATGTGGTACTGAATGAGTCATGCATCTAGGTGTTCTGATCATTGTACAGTAGCGAAGCAAGGATGCGACCTTTGTGAATGCAGCCGAGGCCTTTTCTCTATCAGGTGCGGACCTATGGTGTTGGACGCTCTGATCAAGATTAAGAATGAAATAGATTCCACTCTGACCTTCCGAAGATCATGTAGAGAAGGTGAGCATAACTTTTGTTATTGCTAGACCTTGGCTAGGATTCTGACTCCGGAGAGTCATGGCCGCCACTGATGGGGACACCCTGGAGAGCAATTGCAGCACTGCGAGGTGACCTTGCTGCTGAGACTAGTACAGCTTTAGGGGTTGCCCCGAGTGGGCAGCAAGGGAATGGAGGATATATGCAGAGATGCTGTACGTCACCTTCTTTTTCCTGGGAAATGGCTTCCAAAGTCTGAACTGTGATGCAAGTTCTGATTTCCCCTTGAGATCTTTGTCTCGAGGTTCCTCTGTCTCGTGGTTCCTGTTAGCTGGCACCAGTGAGGACAGGCTAGCTGGCATTTTCACTATGAGCTCTTTGTTTAGTGAGAGGTGCAATTTTCTTGCTGAGGCCCCTCGACTCACACTTGTCACGGGGTGACATGCTGGTGCTGATGCTGAGACTGTGAAAAGACAACGTCCTGTCTAACAGCTCTGCATCAGTCTGTGTATCTGAAAATATGTAGCTAAGGGTGTGAGCACTGGATTGGCAGAGGCAGGAAAATCTCTGAGTCTTTGAGATCAAGTTCAGGGCCAGCCAAGGCTACATAGTGAGACCCTGTCTCAAAAGATGGAAAGAGAAAAGCCAGGCAGTGGTGGACACACCTTTAATCCCAGCACTCGGGAGGCAGAGAGAGGCAGATCTGTGAGTTCCAGGCTAGCCTGGTCTACAAGAGCTAGTTCCAGGACAGCCAAAGCTAAAGCTACACAGAGAAATCCTGTCATGGAAAAAGGGGGGGAGGGAGTAGTAATTGCTAGTGATAATGCAACAAAAGTAAAAATGTTTTAAAATATGATTTTAGGCAAAAATAAAATTAATAACAATATTAAAAAGAAAAAATTCAAAGGGCAAAAATCACATGGTGCCTTGAGGCCTGTGTGGCCCTTGTAGCTGTGAAGCCTGTCTATGAGCCAGAGCTGTTGTGTCTTCATGTGAGGTGGATAGGTAACTACGTGAACTTAATATACAGGGGAGGGGGAAATGGGCCTGTGGAGTTACGGGACTCTGCAAGGACCCGTAGTAGGGTGGACACCAGAAATCAGCCACAGAGGCAGTCTCCGTGTCTGTGCTGTGCTGCTCACTAGCCGTGAAAACCTGGGATAATAAAAGATGGAAGAAGCCAGCTGGGGCTTCAAGGAACTGAGGGTTTAGCTTAGTGAGTAGAGTGCATGACCTGGTTCAAGTTTGAGGTCCAGGCAGGAAAGAGAAGGGAGAAAAGACATCCTGTGTGCAGCTATTAATGGTGGTCAGCGTGGCCCAGAAGAAAGGATTGGGAGCCTGAGGTCACCTGGTGTCTCTCTCAGGGATCTGTGGCTCTTGTGCCATGAACATCAACGGAGGCAACACTCTGGCGTGCACTCGTAGGATCGACACGGACCTCAACAAAGTCTCAAAAATTTACCCTCTTCCGCATATGTATGTGATCAAGGATCTAGTCCCTGTGAGTGTCTATGGCTCTCCCACCTGTTGCAGGGGGCGGTACAAGTGTGTCCTGTAGGGGTGGTGCTAGCATGGCCTGCCCTCTGTTCTCCAGAGCAGGCTAGGTCCGGGTGTCAGCAGCTACTGTGGTATATGTTACCAATCAGACACTCCCTATGTTCATGGCAAGGGGAATTCCACAGTATCCCCAGAGACATTAGGAACCCCCTTCCCAGGTCCACTCCAGTGTGGCCTATGTGTGTTTGAAGAATCTAAATGAGAAGTGACATACCTGGAAATCAGTCAGTCCTTGTGAAGCTCAGAGTGCGGGGTTTGTTTGGAAATAGGGGTTTAGAACTCCAGAGTTGAACTAGCCCCAGAAATGGAGGACTTGGCCTTAACTGCAGAGACTTGTGTGGAAGATAAGCAGGAAAGCAGCAGTAGTTGGCTTTGCGCTGAGCTCCCCTCCCCCTGCTGGCGTCCCTGACTTGGGGCAGCGGGAGAAAGGACTGCAGCTGCCATGTCTTCAGCTGGTGTGGCTAACACTGACCATGTCCCCTTCTAGAACCTTGATTTGTCTCAGCCTCTGAGAGTTTGGTTTCTGACTATCATGGAGAGGGAAAGTGCAGTGTCTGAACTAACAGCAAGCTGAAGGCCCTCCCTGGTAGAAGCTGACCTCTCTCCTACTGCCCTCTCCTTTCCCTCAGGATCTGAGTAACTTCTACGCACAGTACAAATCCATTGAACCCTATCTGAAGAAGAAGGATGAGTCCCAGGAGGGCAAGCAGCAGTATCTGCAGTCCATCGAGGACCGGGAGAAGCTGGTCATTACTTAAACCTACTGTCGTTGGCGAGGGTGCTTTCCGGACAGCAGTAGAGCAGTAGGGTGGAGGGCAGCGTAGGAACTACTGAGGCCCCAGTGGAAACTTGAGGACTGCTCAGCAGTCTTCTCTGAGACACCAGGGCAGACTGCCAAGGAACTTCAGTGACCTCTGTGCTGTAGGCTGCATGCTGGTTGGGAACCTGAACTTGTTCATGACTCTTAGGTCTGTGGGGGGTTATTGATTATCAAATCTACATGCACTGTTGTTGGATGTAAGGGCCCTGAACTCTGATCAAGCAGAGGTTTGCATTTCATTACAAGGTATTTTTTTATGAATCTATTACACCGCCACAAACCACCCTTTCACCCAGAAAACACACAGCAGGCTGGCACTTTGTCATGTGTTAGTCCCTGGTCTCTGACTTCCTTTCTCTCCACACAGGATGGATTGTATGAATGCATCCTGTGCGCCTGCTGCAGTACCAGCTGCCCCAGTTACTGGTGGAACGGAGACAAGTACCTGGGACCTGCAGTTCTCATGCAGGTGCAGTGCTCCCTAACACAAGCACCACAAGGGTGGTGGCCTGCTGCAGGCAGCTGTCTGCAGAGGGCTGGTGTCCAGTGACATGCAGTACATCCAATGTCTTGCTCAGGTGGCTCTCAGCAAATCTGAGGTTTCATCTTGCTGCACCTTTGTAGCAAGGAGGACCATCCCAAAGGGAGGTGTGAACTGGATCCCCGGGCTGGGGCTGTGTGACAAAGAGAAGCATCTTGAGGGGCAGCTACTCATCAGAAGGCAGGAAGGAAGCCTGCCTTTCAGATTTGTGGTCAGTGCTTTCAGAGACTGAAGCAAGTTGAAAGACAACTTCATGTTTCTCATTTTTCCATTAAAAAGGAAGTTAAAAGCCGTGTGACCACAGAATAGTGTTGACCATGCCATGTGCAGTCAGGTACACTCACTGTGCCACTCGCTGTCCAGGATCTGAGTTGTTGGAAAGCACACAGGTCTCAGTAACACAGCTGGAACGGGTCCAGGCCCTGTGGTAAACCATTGTGAGTTCGCTGATCTCAGGGGACATGTTGATTGATAGCTCATGATGCCTGTAATCCAAAGCCCTTGAGAGGTTGAAGCAGGAAGATGATGAGTTCAAGGCCAGGCTGGGAGCCTTAAAATAACAAACAAGCCAGGTGTCCTGCTGCATTCCTGTAAATCCAGCACTCAGGAGGCAGAGGCGGACAGATCTCTGAGTTCTCCAGGCCAGCTAGGGCTATACAGAGAGACCCTTGTCCCAGACAAAGCATCCATTTATTCGGTGGCAGGTTCTAGCACAGGCAGGTGCTACAGGGAGAGGGAAAAGCGTTTAGCACAGCCTACCCTCACTAATTAGAACCTGGAACAATATGAAATGAGCCGATGCCAGTACCATGTCATTAAGCACCGAGGTACCAAGCACAGGGTGGATCAAAGGCTCATGATGATCATGAACACACCGAGTTAGGAAAGAGCTCAGAGCCTTACTGCATGGTGGGCAAGAACTACAGGGCAATGGCAAGACTCCTGCACTCCTGAGCCAAGCCCGTCCAGGCCAGCAGATGACTCAGCTACCACCCCCACCCCCCCAATGCTTTCCCAGGCCTATCGCTGGATGATCGACTCCAGGGACGACTTCACAGAGGAGCGCCTGGCCAAACTGCAGGATCCCTTCTCTCTCTACCGCTGCCACACCATTATGAACTGTACCCGGACCTGCCCCAAGGTATGGGCAGGAGTAGCATGGTCACTGGAGATGGAGAGGGACTGGAATCCCTGTTTTCTCAGTTGGGGCTTGAATGGCTCTTAGTCACAGACTCTACCAGGTCCCAAGAGGGGCAGCAGGCCTTACTTGTAGATGACAGAGATGGAGGGGACAAGAATGCCACCAGAAGCCAATGCTGTGAGAAACAGAACCAGGGTCCTTCAGCTGTATCACACCTCTGGCCACTGATCTGCTTGAGCCAGAGCTGCTTTGGGACTCATGGGACTCTGAGCTTTGGCCTCCCTGGTCACCCTCTCTCCTCATGCTGTGCTTTCAGCCTCCCCAGCTTAGACCCCAGCACCTTCAGATCTCACATTTCTTTTGTTATTGTTTTGAGACAGGGTATCTCTGGCTGTCCTTGAACTCACTTTGTAGACCAGGCTGGCCTCGAACTCATGGAGATCTGCTTGCCTTTGCCTCCTGAGTGCTGGGGTTAAAGGTGTGCATCACTACCCTGGCTCTTATTTTTGAGAGGGAACTTTTGGTCCAGCTCTGCCTCACATAGCCCACTACAGTGGGAGTGTCCAGTTTTTTATTGTTTTGTTTATTTTTCAAGACAGGGTTTCTCTGTAGCTTTGGAGCCTGTCCTGAAACTAGTTCTTGTAGACCAGGCTGGCCTTGAACTCACAGAGACCTGCCTGCCTCTGCCTCCCAAGTGCTGGGATTAAAGGTATCGGCCACCACTGCCCAGCTGGGAGTGTCCAGTTTTAAATTGACTGCCTTCTAATCTGGTATTTATCGTGGACCTATGAGGCGTGACCCTGGCTGCCTTCCAAACGGACTAGGCAGCAAGTTCTATTGGAAACCTCTGCTCCAAGAGCCCAACCTCTCAGCAGGGTCTTCAAGTCCTACACAGGACAGGCTATGGCGGCGCAGGAGAGCATGGGTCTGTCCTGGAAACCTGACATTGACTTCAACTGTGCAGTGTGCATGTGTGTGCCACACCATCTGTGCTCTGTCTTGCTGTGTAAAGAACCTCTCCTGTCTCGGGTTATTTTCATCTTTTTCCCTTTCTTCAGTGCTTTAGTTTCTGGGTTATTCTAACGTGAGAGGGCCCTTTCCCAACCTCAGATAAATCTAATCGTGCCGTGTACCTACCATTTTCCTCCCAGCTTCTGCAAGGCTGGCACGCACTAGGGTACTCATCAATCCTGCAAAACAGATGTTGCAGCTGTGAGGCCGTGCTGCAGCCAGAGCTGCTGGTATTGGCCAGTCAGACTCAAGATACAAGGTGTTCCCAGGGTTGTTTCTTAGAGTATATAGTCTGCAGTCGCTGACTTAGTGACAGTGATACTGACCTTAGCCTGTGGTCCTAGAGGAGATACCACCCTGGGGGTCTAGGGTAGTCAGGGAATGCTGTCTACCATGGGCGTGTTTGCCTGCTGGAGTGAGCCATGCCAGAAGTCAGTGTAACAGACTCCTGTAAGCATGGGGGGGGGGGCCTTGTGGGCTTGCTGGCTTTCAATGGCTGGATCTGCGCACCACCCCTCCTGAGAAGGGACTTGTCCAGCTCTGTTCCCTCTGTCACACCTTACTGACAATCTTCTCTTCCCTCCAGGGTCTGAATCCAGGGAAAGCCATTGCTGAAATCAAGAAGATGATGGCAACTTACAAGGAGAAGAGGGCACTGGCTTAACTCTCTCCGTGCTGAATGTGCCTGTCAGCTCCGACTTCAAACACCTGGATTCTCCAGGAAAACAGCATGTATAATAAACATTTTAAGAAATAAGTAGGTGTTACTCTACATTATTAGCAAAAGCAATACTGTTCCTTTGCCTTATGCGAGGGGTATCTTTGTCCATACAGAGGTGAGCAGGACTCCAGACCTGAGCTCTGGTGAGGATAAGGGACCAGGGCTGGGGCATTGCACTTACACTGCCCTTCTGTGAGATGGGACTAGTAACTGCCCGCCTCACCTGCCGTGGATTCCCAGTCTTGGTAGTGTTAGCTAGCAGGCATGTGCAGCACCCATCTGCAGTCTTCAGGACTGCTGGTCGGTTTCTCCTTGCCATGGAGCCAAGGTTTGAGCTTCTTCCAGCACACAGCAGTGACCCTGACCAGCTTCAAGCTGACTGGTTCCACAAATAACCTTGAGAGACCTCGAGCTGCAAACCCGAGTTCCACGCAGCAGTTGCCCCGGCCCTGCTGTTTACCACACAGGTCTTAGCATGCTGGGCAAACAATACAAAATGGATGGAAAGTACATCAGTAAAGGCAGGATTATAAATTTGAGGCTAACCTGGGCTACATAGCAAGTTTCAAGTCAGCCTGAGCTTCTTAGTGAGATCAAAGGGAAAAAAAAGAAGGAAAAGTAAAAAGCCTTCAAATTCCCCTTGTCTTGTGTTCTCCTGAGCTTGTTTCCTAATGTGCACTCTCTAAAACCCCTTTAAGCCAGGTATGTTAGCATTCTTACCCTATGATAGGTGATGATAATTCCATCTGGTGTGTGTCAATGAGCCTTCCACTCCAGCATTCACAACCACGGAATAACAGATGTAACCATTTTCGTGTTAAAAGTTACAGGGCACCATTACTTTCTGACTACATTTCTGCACTGAGCCCCAGCATACCAGACTAGAGATCAAAATGGAGCTGGTATCAGAGTTCCATGACACCGACCAGACAGGCCAGTTTCAAGTGACACAGTCAGTGGTAATCCTGACCGTAGTGATCGGCTGGTGTTCTCCAGGCAGCCCCTTTCCATTGCTCTATCTCCTGGTCCCACCTTACAAGAATGGTAACCCTGAGTGATCCAACAGTGCAGAGGTCTTCAACTCCAAAAGGAACTCCTGCTCAGCCCAGTGGTGCATTACTCCCTATGGAGTGAAGCAGCACTTGGTTCTAGAATCTAAAAGCTACCAGGCATGGTTGCCTGTGCCTATGAGTCCCACACATAGGAGGAAAAGGCAGGAAGATCTTGAGGTCTAGGCCAGCCTGGGTGAGACCCTGACCCAAAACCAAAAAGGGCCGGAGTGCAATTAATTCAGTCGGGGTACACTTCCAGGCTACAGGTCCCATCCTAACAGTAAAAGGGAAAGGATACTCCAGGGCTGCATTTTAAGCAGTAGCTGGAGACTCAGACCATCCCAGAAACAAAGGCTTTTTTATATCATGAAGCAGGCAGCTAAGAAAATGTCTGATACTCCAGAGAAAGAGCCTTAGAGCATTTCTGAGCTGGGTGTGGGGCATGTGTCTGTGATCCTACCATTGGAGGCAGAGGCTGGAGGATTCTGAGTTCCATGAGTTTTGTACTAGCCTGGGCTACATAATTCTAGGCCAGCCTGAGCAACCAGAGACCTTGCTTTAAAAAAAAAAAAAAAAAAAAAAAAAAAGCAGCAAGTGCTTATAATCCCAGCACATGGGGGAGTTCCAGGCCACCCTGGGCTCCTGGGCACCATGAGATCTTGTCTCAAAAAGACAAAAGGTATTTACAAAACAGAAGTGGGGACAAGAACAATGTTAACCAAGCTTGGTGGTGGCACATTCCACCTGCTGAGGCAGGAGGTCAAGACCAGCCTGGGTTACTTAGTTCTAGGTCAGCTCCAGCTACACAATGAGACCCTGTCTTTAAGAGAAAGAGATAGCCCAGTGGTGGTAGTGCAGGCCTTTAAAATTCCTGTACTCTGGAGGCCAAGGCAAGCAGGTCCTTGTGAGTTCAAGGTCAACCTGGTCTACAGAGTGAGTTCAGGACAGCCAAAGATACACAGAGAAACCGTGTCTTGAAAAATATCTAATAATAATCTCAAACAAGAGAAAGGCAGTATGGGCGTGTGCTCACCAGATATATGGGAGGTAAGGTAAAACGTGTGTGTTTCCAGCCACCCAAAAGCCAAGACTACAAATTAAAAAGGAATGTCAATTATTAGACATTTAGAGCATGTGCAAAGCCCTGATCTGATTCCCTAGCACTACAAAAAATAAAAAATAAATTTAGAGAAGAGGGTTTGTGCTCCCAGCATCTGAGTTCCTGACTTCTGGACATAGACAAGCTGAACACTTAGCACCCCAAGTGACAATTAAAATGTGAGGCCACTCCAAGGCCAGCACTTGAGAAGTGGCAGGGTAACCCCACTTGCCCTGTCTGTGGACAGAGATCAGTTCAGCCCTAATGGCCCTCTGTCCGAGCCCGGAAGGTCACATTCCAGAGGCTCATGGGTAGTCAGACTTTGCTTGTGATATCTGGATCTGCAGGGAAAGTGGCCTGGCTGCTGCTAAGAGAGTTGAGTCCTAGGGTGAGGTGGCTCAGAAGGTGAAGATGTTTGAGTAAATGCTGCTTAGTCTGCCATTGGGTCAGAAGGAAATTTACATTTCACTGGTTGTGAAGGCTTTGAGCTGGTGTGGGCTGTGATGGTGGTTGTGGTAGCAGTGGCTATAGTGGCCATGGTAGTGGTGGTGGTAGCGGTTGGTGCGGTGGCTGTGGCGGTTTGAGACAGGGCCTGAGACTGTGCAACTCAGACTGATCTGGAATCCACTCTGCAGCCTCCTGGTTTTTACTTCCCCAGTCATGGGATTACAAGCATACACCATCATGCCAAATCAGACTTTTCTTTGGTATATTTTTTAATGTGTGTGTATTTGTGCACACATGTATGCACAGTGCCTGGGGAGGTCAGAAATTAGGCAGATTCCCCTGCAGCTGGACTTACAAGAGTGTAAACTGAGACTTGTGCAGCCCAGAGCAGGTGCTGGGAACCACACTCCAGCATTCTCCAAGAGCAGCAAACTGCTGGGCCATCTTTCTGAGCCCTTCTCTTTGACATTTTGAGATAAGTCTGGCTGTGTAGCCAGGATGGCCATGAATGCACAATCCTCCAGCCCCAAACTCCTAAGAGTTGAGATTATGCCCAACCAACCACAAGGACCTTTTTGTTTGTTGGTGGTGGTTTTTTTGAGACAGAGTTTCTCTGTGTAGCAGCTCTGACTGTCCTGGAACTTGCTTTGTAGACCAGGCTGGCCTCAAACTCACAGATCCGTCTACCTCAGAGGGCTGGGACTAAAAGCATGCACAGCCACCACCACCACCACCACTGCCCGGCAAGACTTTTAATTAAACTAAGTCCCAAGCAGTATTTTGTCTTGTGCGTGTGTGTGTGTGTGTGTGTGTGTGTGTGTGTGTGTGTGTGTGAAATTTACTATGGAAAGTTTCCTTGGGACCCACTCAGCTCTTCTCAGCTTATCTTTGGGCAGTTGTTGACTGACCATCTGTGCCTCTGTTTTGCTATCTGTAAAATGGGAATGGATGGTATTCAAATTGTGACTGGAGTCTAAGAATAAACAATAGGCATCTTGCTTTCCAGTAGCACAAACACGCCATACTCAGTGTAGCTGACTGGTCTGAAATATCCAGTCTGAACCATATATGGAACCCTGTAAGCTCAGCCAAGGAGCTTTAAACCCTTGCAGCCATATTTCTCATGGTATTGCTCACCTTAGAGCTTTTTGTCTCTGAGTTTTGTTTTTTGTTTTCTTTGCGATAGAGACTTCTATGTCAAGCCCACTTCAAACTCACAACAGCTGAGAATGACCTTGAACTCCTGATCCTCTTGCCTGTCTCAAGAAGCAGTCGTGTTCTGCCACACCTGGTTTCTGCTGTGCTAAAGATCAAACTACCTGCTTGTGCAGGCTAACCGACCAAGCTGCATCCCCAGGTGTTTTTTTTGTTTTGTTTTGTTTTGTTTTTTTGTTTTTTTGCAACAGGATCTTGCTATGTAGCCCAGGCTGGACTCAATTCTCCCATGTCAGCCTCCTGAGTGCTAGGATTACTGGGCTTGAGGCACCTAGGCTTGGCTTCAAATTTCTGTCTTTGTTTGCAAAGCTAAGAATGTCCTCCTCCCTCCCCCTTCACTGACTGCAGAGGGTCCCAGGAACTCCTTTGTCCCTCCAGGTCCTTCCCTATAAGACCTGCTGCAAAAAGGTCACTTTGCTGGGTGTTCAGACAGCCATCAACTCACTTCAGGGATGTCACTAGTTCAGAAAACACCCTTTGTTGGGAAAAAAAAATTGAAACTAAAGAAATTGAGAAGTGAGGCTGTGCTCTGGGGTAAACCGGTCAGTGCCACTGGTTTCTCAGACTTCTGCAATGTGAACCAGGCATGGGACATCCCCCATGAGGGCCCCTGAAGAACAGTCGCCCCAGATGGAAGCTGTTGAATCAGGCCTGGCTCATGTGACTGGAAACTTAGCTGCGGTCATCTGGGAGAAGAGCCCTGCCCACAGGCCACCAGTGAGGTCACACAGTGAGAGCCACTTCCCAACAAGGTGACTGGCAGGTAAGCAGGGACTGCCACATCCTCTGTGCTTTAGAGAAGTGCATTCCCTGGCACCTACCCTGTCAAGGAGAAGGCTAGGCTGCCACCAGCTTGACTTTTTCCCAGACAGCTTGGGTTGGAGCTATGTAATGTCGAGTGACTTCTCATGGTGTGTGACAGACAACCTGCAAAGGCCCGTCTGTCCCCACAGCCCCTAAACCTTCAAAGCTTCTAGCCCAGCTTGAAGATCTCATGAATGTACCTGGGCTCTCAGGAGAGTCTTAGAGAAAATGACTTTTATCCCAGCATTTGGAAAGATAGGGCAGACAGATCTCTAGCAGTCCAAGGTCAATCAAGGCTACATAGCTAGCTCTTGTCTCAATAAATAAATGTTCACACAGCTAGACAGCAGCTGATGTACCAGGTCTTTCTCTGGCCCCAGGCCAGCCACTTTTATCACATGGCTGCTCTCTGCAAGGGC